AAACAAGAAGTATTTAAATTATTACTGCAACTTTCTGACACCAGAATGCAGCACTATCGTAAATCATATAAAGTAGTATAAAGTTTTTAAAAAAATTTCAATGCATTTGAAGAGTAATAAGAATTGTAAATTATGAATGCTTGATTATAAAGCTAGGAGGAAGTCAGAGAAAGTATATTTTTATTCTATAATACCTATCTACATCAGTGGCGGATATTTGATCATATGAATGGAATCATTCATTTTCAAAAGACAAAAGCTTTGAAAGGGGTGGTCTTTACAATTTCTTTACTATTTAGGCATAAAACCCTGATATATGTATGTTCCGCTTTGGTCCTTTGAGCTGGAATTCATAACGTTTTTTACGTGACGTTTGTGCCAATGCCGCTCTCGCTCTACGTTGGTCTGTTCACCGTACATACAGAACGTCATTGTTCTGTTAAACATTAAGTCCTCAAAAGCATATCAAAACATCAAGTGTTAAAATCTAGTAAAGAAAGAACAATGGCCATCTGCCTAACATGCTTGGACTAGTAAAATCGAATAAAACGTAACTTAATGAAACATATGTTATTTTGTTTGCCTATGCAACTAGAACAAAGAATGACATTAAATATATTTTTAAAAGCCGGGAGTATCGAGTAATTATGTAATATGTTTTTGAGGTTATGTCGTATTATTTAAACTGTAGCATTTTGAATTAGAGGTATTACAGTTGAAATATGTAAAGCACACGTCAGATAATGCCTAATCGTAGTCCTAGAAGTGCATACTTTCACATAATACTTCAAACTTGCTCCATATCTGATATATTATTTTATTAACTGTAAGAAATAAAATCATTTTTTGTGAACCAATGAACATCAAAAAAAAATAATAGAATTTTTAAGATTGCAATAACTCTACTTTTCTATCTTACACTATAAATTATATAAAATAGTACTGAAAATACTAATTTCAAAAGGATATAGCAAAAAAACATGTTGATTTTTCTTTTCTTTATTACAACTCTAATGAATACCTCATCACGGAATGCTGCAGGAGCAGCTACATTCTGTTCGTGTCTGGCCCATCCAAGATACCAAACTATGGTCATTATATGAGCACAGCATCCCAGTGTACATATACCAATAAGACAATTACAGCAGTGTTCTCTTATGCCACCTAACCCGGATGTGTCATTATTCTTTAAAATGTACATATAATATTATTTCTTCCCAATGTCTCGACTTAATTCTACCCCTTATAATTAGGACTTTATTTATATTTAAGTCTAATAAATCCAGAATCCGTATTTCTCCCCAGACCTCAATTCTATACTGCCCGTGGAACCTACTATGCTCCCCATAATACAGAAGATAATACAAAAATCACCGCCTAAGTTACAAAACGGTCTGCGTAGAAACACGTCTACACATACTTGTCTAAAAAAAGGGAAGTCGCAATCGATTGAAAACTGTAATATCGATTCTTATGAATAATCATTTGTTTTTAATTTCATTATAAATAAACTATTTTCCTCTAAGTAACATCTAATTATATTAGTAATCTAATTTAAGTTTTATAATTTTCACGGATTTATGTGGTTAGTAAATCATATAAGATTTGTATCAAAATCGATTAGTCAGAAATAAAATCGATCTTGTTCTTTGAAAAGAGATGGACTTCTCTAGGAATGACATTATTATTAAGATCCGTTCAAAAATAACATAATTTAAACTGCGTTCTAAAAAATAAAGACATATTTTTAGAGAGGATTATCTTTCTTTTCCCAGCTTTTAAAAATAAATAGTTGGTATATAATAATTACATTTAACTTATACTACATTTTGGTGATAGTTCCATCTTGGTACAAGAACTTTTTTTTTCGTAGTCCATTTTGACCATTGTTCTTTGATATTTTAAGTAACCTGACGTGTTATCATCAAGTTTTAAGAAGTCTCATTTGAAACATAATTAACAATAATCATATAATTTATTATGATTTGAAGAAAAATATATTTATCTGTTACATAATATGTTGGGGAAAATGTGTTTTTTCATTTTATATGAAAATTCAAAGCATTTTTATAAAGTTTATTTACGTTTAACGAAAGTATGTAGGTACCATTTTATTCGTTCACTTCTTGCCATCTTGTAGGTAGGGACATGATCCCATTGCTATAGAAATTTTGGGGCTTACGATCAAAAAACCACGACAAGTCGTTTTGGCAGTCCTCTCGAAATGTTAACCTGACTCTGCCTAAAGAATTTTAAAGAAACCGAAACAGATGGAAATCTGGGTGGTTTGTTAGCGTGTTAATAAATTAGCACGCTAATTTTTCTTAGCATTTAGTCATCAGCATATTACTGTATTTTAATCGTTTTGAACAACTCTAATCGAGATTTAGGAACTTGTTCCAGTGTCGCCATATTGAGAATTAACTATAATTTTGTGGAAAACTAAGTATCATTGGAATCACAAATTAAGTGAAAAATTATATATTTAGTGTATTATGACTGACTCCAGTCTCAATGAAATCGAAACGAATTAAATTATATTAAGACTTCAGAGGTCGTCTGTCCATCTCTAGACAGACTAAAACCATGATAAATGTTTTATACAAATATCGATAGATCGAGCTGTTTCGGTTACAGTCGATATCAATATATCGCTTCACAAAGCCGTAATGTTGGATCCTGCACGCTTAGCATGACGAACTCGAGAGCATTTTGTTTACACCCAAATGTCACCCAATGTGCCCATACGATATCTCACTCTTGACCCGAGAAACGTAACGTTTGGTGTAGACAAAGCATTCCTCCATCTTGTCATTCTTTGTTGTGTCATACATCTGTTTAATAATCTTTGTACTCTACTCTGTATGCAATATACGGTAAAGCGGGCTGCTTTTAAAGAAAGGCGTTCAAAAGTCCTGCTCCTAGTCACAATGGGAAAATATCTTATTGTCACTCGATATACATTGTAATTAGATTGGGAATAACACTGTATTTTATAATAAAGTACAAATTATTATAATAAATACTACTACAAACAAAGCAAAAAATTAGGTTACAAAATAATGTGACACGTAATGTGAGACGTATTACTAATGAAATTTCATATGTGAAAATGCCGTTGGATTTAAAAATATGTACAACTGGTATACATTTACTCTTAGAATTTCATTCGATATTAATATCAGGTTTCGATATGAAGTTTTTGATATCGATATAGCTGTTTCATTGATATCGACATATATCGGTTTTCCGATATATCTCGATATCCCTCATCCATAAGTCTGTCTGTCACTGTCTCTGAGTAAAAGTGTTCTGTGGTCTGTCGTAAAGAAGCCCTCGTAGAGTACTTTTGTTCTGTGAAGAAGCCTGTGTAGAGAAGCGAAGAATAAAGTCGCAATAATTTTGTTTATCTTGTAAAATCTTACATAGGTTTATTTAATTACATTAATTTGAGATAAATCCTACCCCCACTTTATTTCTTAACAAAATTATTTATTCACTACCAGTTACAAAAATATAAGTTTTCTTCCACCCAAGGTCTACTTAAATCTGAAAGTGATTGCATTTCTATAGTGTGCACTGATTTATAGTTTTGGTTCATATTTCCTACTTTATTAAAGATGGTTATCGGTAAGTTCTCATAGTCTTAAAAGTTATTAATTCTAACAAAAGGTTTAGGTTTCAAGATATGTGTAAAAACTACTAAAAAACCTGTTTGTATCTTTTTCTAATGAAAGACGTCTAACAAGTTTTGACAAGGTCTATGGTCCTATATTCATTGTTCAAAGGTCAAATTACAACATTAAATTGCCCTATAGGTACTATCAATTTTCCACAAATATTGACTTATTCATTGAACCTCTAATATTAATTATCATGATTTATTTACATTTACTTCCTGTATTATTTTAATGCAATAAGTTTTTTAAATAAATGCCTCTATATCTTCACTCACTTTCACTTTTTATTTAGGGTTAGCAAAATAGAATTGATTATAATCAGCATTGTTAAGTAATAATATTTGGTGAATTTAATTATAATAACCAAGACTGTCACTGTATATCTATTGCCTGTCTTTATGTGTTAAAATGCAATACCTGAAAAAATCTTCAATATTTAAATTATGATATTCATGGTTGAAAGGCCAGTTGATCCAAGCAAAAGTTTTGGCAACATGAGTTTTAAACGTATTTGATATTATGGATTTTTCCTTATTGTTTAAGCTATTTTAAAAATTTCATTACTACTTTGTTTCACAAAATAATGTCAAATTATATAAAAATAGGTAATTTGAAGGTTCAAAAACAAATTTACAACTTTTCGCAATATTGCACAGATATTTAAATGACACCAATAAAATTGTTTTTACTATATTATTTAGACTAATTTCAATACATAATATGGTAAATCAGAAGAGCCTTTCTTGAGTTTTAGTGTGACAAACAAATAGCAATTCATTTTTGAGGAAGTATTTAAAAAATAAAAATCAGTTCTTGAAAGCTAACTAGATGTCATTAGTGATTTTTAGATAATTCTCCATGATATTCATTCAAATTTTCTTTCTGATGTAATAAAAGTAAATTGAGTATTGAAAATTAATAAATATGACATTGTTTCATGTTCCTTATAATATCTAAATTAACACTAGTGATGGGCCAGCTTATTGGTTGCTTGTTACTTCAACTGACTCAATTCAACCAAATTCGAATATAATCGAATATGTACATTAGTTCTGAAAATAAAACCTTATGTGTACGAAAAGAATTAAGACTATTCAGTAAGTAGGCTCTGTAAACAAAACTGTGCCCAGGCTTTTATTTATTTATTTATTAATTAAGAAAATATAAAGTCTGTATCTATAAAATTCACAATATAGCATGTAGGTAAAATTAGCCTTTTAAGTGTCAATATCATATTTTTTTTTACTTCTTAGATAAAATTGTTATATAGTACAATGTGTTGATTTTTGAATTTACTTATTTTTTCTTTATTTGTTACAGCCAATCTATCAAATTCCAAACCCAAGCCGGTTAATTTAACAGAGGTAAGCCAAAAAATATTACATCAAACTGCATAATTTAATTACTCTTGCTATTAATACAACCAACAAACTAAACAAAACTTTATAAAAAATAGAATCTTAAAGATAACAATTCTTTTTCTTCATTAAGATTTGTACATATTAATAATAAAATAGGGAGAGTGGGTTCTTTGTCTGTTACATAGGTATACCTAAGTTGGTGTGGCAACTTGGGCGACATCCATATATTACACCAGACGAATTTCATGTTGATAAAAAAGTATTAATAGTGTACGATAAAATAAGCGCAATTGTTTAAAACTGAAGTGCATCTATTATTTTCTGCCTGGAATTAGGTATTGTAAATGTAATTACTTACAATAAAGAGCTGGTAAGTTTCTTTCGCTTGTTCTTTTGTCAGCTAAAAGACCAAAGGGATTCAAAAGTGCTTGAAAGAAGCTTACTTGAATAAAGATATTTTCATTTCCGTTTCATTTCAGTTAACTGCACTTCAGCCTATATCCAAAGCTGTCAAATGTTCCCACTTGATTTTAAACTTTTAAATATTGAGAATAGAGCCCAATATTCATTGCAGAAATTTAACTTATTGTGGTAACCTGACGGGAAGCTGTATGTCCGTTATTATTTATGATCCAAATGGACAAACTGAAAATCAGTGTTTTAAACCTAATAAAGAATTACTATATTAAGTTTAAAAGTACTTTGACTCAACCCTGAATGTAGTCATTCTCCACTTCCTGTTGTACCAGTGCCAGAAAAATTGAGTAGTTTTGAATGTGATAAATTTTGATTTGCATAAATAAATAGAGATTATGGAGTATGAATGCAGAGGAGAATGTCAAAAGACCAAAAAACAGAAAGACCATTTGAAATTCCATATAATTTCTTTTTTGATAAAAGTTAGTCAGCGTTATTATAACCTACATCCACAGTCACTCCTCTCTTACCCATATTTGTGGCCTTAACAAACACATATACAAAGTTGTAACAAAGAGTATTATTTATTTAACGTTTTTGAAATGGTATTATTTATTACTTTTTGGTAACGATATAATAGATAAGCAGCATAATACATATATGCTGGACAAGTATCTTAAATACAGTGTGAAAAAAGAGTAAATTAGCGCCCTCTATTTGTGTTATAGATTATAGACAATACTCTACTCTCTACGACATGTACAAATAAATGCATATAATAAAAATAATATTATATGTGTTGTTAATAATAATTACTGTATTTCTTTCATAGACTGTTCAAAGAGCTCGGGATGCGTTCAGCAGAGGGGTCACGCGACCCATAGAGTGGCGGCGACAGCAACTCAAAGCGCTCATGCGCATGTATCAAGAAAACAAACAGGCCATGATAGAAGCGCTGAGGCAAGATTTGAGACGAAGCAAGATGGAGGCCGTGCTTCTTGAAGTTGACTTTCTCATTAATGATTTGGCCAACACTTTGCACTATTTGGATGAGTGGGTGAAGCCTGAAAAGGTAATTTGATGAATATTTAATGATATACATTTTAAAAGTATGTGTAATTCACTCCAACGCTACTGTAAATAGTGCACTTATCTTTGTCACTCGTTGCATCAAATTGAAAAAGCTGATCTATAAGAAGACCTACCTTCGGAATAACTTACCGGATTACGTAACTTTTTGCTAGAAAACATCCAAAAATATTTTTTCATTTTTATTGAACACATAGTAAAACATTTGACAGAGTTATTAATAATGTATAACAGTAGTTCGTATAAACAAAAATAAATAAATCAAAATATTAATTAGACATATTTTCCTTGACACAGCCACCAAAGGGCTTAGTGAACTTATTAGACGAAGTGGTGGTCTACAACGACCCCTATGGCGTAGCCCTTGTGATCGGAGCGTGGAACTACCCACTCCAGCTGCTCCTCTTGCCAGTAGCAGGAGCCATAGCCGCTGGCAACGCTGTTGTCATGAAACCCAGCGAACTTGCAGTTGCTAGCGCTCAGTTCATTGCAGAGATGGTGCCGAAATATTTGGACAATGTAAGTAAACCTGGAACAATTAATCGAATAAATTTATAAAAGTGCTTAGGTTAATCTTTTTTGTAATAATTCTTGGCTTGGATCCTTGATTACTATAAATAGGATTGCTGACTTTTATTAGAAGAAATAGAGTATATTTATGATAAATAAATAATACAGACTTATAAAAAAGAGTATCATTATTCATATGTACTTGAATAGTCACTGTTATAATAGTGCCAGCACTATTTTAATAAACATTGCAAGGTTTGATATATATCAGGCATATGAAAATTTACGTTTTTTAAGCTGCTAGTAGCTTTAATATTTGAGGTTTCAAATCAAAATTTTAAAATACTAATTGAGTGTAATATTTTGAATATTTGTTTATTTACTGTAATAGTTAAAAACTAGTATGCGTGCGTGGATTCCCAGAAACGTATAGGGGAATGGCCGACTTGTTACCTACTTACTGTAATAAACCTTATTACATGAGAGCTTAAAATTTCATGCGTCATGATATTCCAACATAATTCGAATTTGTCATCTTTGCATTACTTGCAAAATCGTTAATGCAAATCATGGTACAATAGGTTAAACATTCGAAATATTTGTCGACGTGTTCGTTATAGGTCCTCATAAATAACACGATTAAAGTCCAAATGATAGTGTTTCTATAATAAGACGTTATAAAATATTAATGATAAAAATGATTAATAGCGTGTACGTAACAGATTTATTGTGTAAATAAATCGGTTTACTCGCCGACAAGTGAACAGATAAGCAGTTTAGTTGCCGTAGTAATTAAATATAGCGACATTTTTTTGTTTATTTACTAAAATTAAGCAATTCTTACTTAATATTAAACAAAATAGTTAAGAAGGTTTACTAACCCTGGGTATACAGGAAGCAAACAAAAACATTATAATATTGAAATGACTTAAAAAAATTAAATCGTCTGTTATCCTTAATTATTTATACACGTAATAAATACCATCCATTATTACAATAATATTACTAGTTTTTAATAAATGAACTCAGTTGCTAGAGAAAAAAAACGCTACCATCAAGAAAATACCGTAAATACGGAGCTCCAGGACTCATGGTAATCAATCCAGGTAATTTATAATCAATTTTGAATGTATTAAACAATTACAATATTAATCTACTAATAAGATGAGTTTAATTACGACAGGAAAGTTGACATGCTACCCATTAATTTATAAATATTTTTATAAATTATTCTTTACTAGGTTTCCGCCAGCTGCTTCTCATGCGTCAGATAATTTTTCTCTCTAGGGAACCATTATATGATAGAAAATAGCCTATATGTTAATCCAAGCCGAGAAAAATCCGTTCATTAGTCGTGCGTGAAGAAGTAACCAAACCTACAAACTTTCGCCTTTATAATAATAGTAAGATATCTTCTTATTCTTCGGCAGGACGCTGTCGTGGTAATAGAGGGTGGTCCGCAGGAGACAAGCGAGTTGTTACAGCAGAAATTCGATTACATTTTCTATACGGGCAGCACAAGTGTCGGCAAGATCGTATACGAAGCCGCAACTAAAAACCTCACACCACTCACTTTGGAGTTGGGTGGGAAAAGGTAGTTTATAATAATTAATCGAATTTGTCTTAAGGTCGACGTATTTCTTCAAACTTCGAAATTCTCCAAATTTTATCTTAATTGCATTTATAATTATTTGTAAAATTCTATATATATATATATTTATATATATATATGTCTTTATATCAAGCTTCATTCGTATACCTTTATCTATTCAACCATGATTTAGTAAGAAGCTTAGTAGTATATTTGAAATAACACACTTAGTTTGGCAATAACTCATTTCCGTAAACCTCCAAATATATGAAGCTATTTTTATTATTTCTAGCCCAGTATACATAGACAACACTGCAGACATCGAAGTTACTACTAAACGTATACTATGGGGTAAATTTATCAACGTTGGGCAAACGTGTATAGCTCCCGACTACATATTGTGCAGTAAAGAGGTGCAAGAGAAATTCGTACAGATTGCAAAAAAGGTGCTGAAGGAGTGGTACGGTGATGATCCTCAAAAGTCACCTGACCTATGCAGGATTATCAACAGTAGGCATTTCAGGTAAGTTAGATCGTAAGTCGCAAAGTCAAGTCATCCGGCTTGAAGGACCAAAATCAAATTTCATTAAAATTAAACTTTATGTGCATTTTGCAAGACAAATGTTAATTTATATATTCCTTTTTGGGGTTCGGTATCCCAAGTTGAGCAATAAAACCCTTATGGGATCACAGTTAGTGTGATGTGTGTCTGTCTGTCAGCCCGTCTGTTAATCATAACTATTTATCAGTAAATCTAAAGTATACCCTATTTTCAAATGCATATCTCTGAATTATTTCAAAACTAAATATGATGGGGAACTTCACAAGACATTAGGTTTTGAATATAATGGACACTCTAAAGAAAGCTATTGTGCCAGTTAATTTATACCGACATGTTGTGCAATGTATATTATAAATAATTTATAACTATTTAACATTTCAGTCGTCTACAGACATTGGTGGATGCAAGCAAAGATAAAGTTGTAATCGGTGGCAAATCGGACCCCAAAGACAGGTTCATTGAACCTACGATCCTTGCCAACGTTTTACCAACAGACAAAATTATGGAAGATGAAATTTTCGGTCCTATTTTACCTATCTTACCCATTGAAAACGCGTACGAGGCCATCAAATTCATCAACGAAAGGTAAGGAAAACTTTCTGAATGATAAATAATTTCTTAGTTTATCAACTTTTGAGACTTAAAAACCAATTTGTTGCTGAATTTCCTTTAACTCTACATAAATATAGACGTTTTGCATTACATTAATAAAGTATAATGCATTATTATGCATTATTTATACGTACATTTGAACTTCGCCCAATATGAATTATTCATTCCATGCGTTTTTTGTGGTTTGTTTCTTCATGGAAATTGGATGTTATGGGTTTTTTAAGAGTTCATTGTGTGTTTGAAAAATCATCTGCTACGGAGTGTTATTGATTGCTTATTTCTATTAAAAAAATATGTCGTCGATCTTAGATAGAAAAATATTTAAATGTTCGATAGCCTCAGGTACGCGTCTGGGGAGTCGAACCTATAACCTTTTGCAAATCGGGCGACTGCTCTTACCAAATGAGCTACCGGAAGCCTTTGCGAGACTGTAGAGGTACTTTTCAAGCAATATACTTAACAGTCGGAAAATTTAACTTTAAAAAAAAATCATTTGTATTTTATTTTTTAAATATTTTTCTATTCTATATACATGTATTGTGTGAATTGTACTTGAATTCAATGTGAAAATGAGGGAAAGTTTATGTAAAAAAAAAATCAAAATTAGTGTAAAAATTTCATCCTTTATTTCACTTAATTCTCATGTTTTGCATGAGGTAATGTATAGATATTACATACACCAATTTTTCAAATCATTGCAACCCCAATTCGTCATTCAAGAACACTCGACGGAAGCTAATATGAAACATTTTATAGACATAAAATTAACTTCTAATATACTCAAAAATATTCATATACATAATCTGATATAACATCACGAGACATGAATTTCAGGGAGCATCCATTAGTTCTTTACGTCTTCACCAAAGATAAAAACATACAAAATTTGTTCACCGAACAAACTCGGTCAGGCAGTATCAGTTTGAATGACACGATCATGTTTTACGGCGGTAAGGAGGTATCCATTACACGTCAGCTATTTGTAAAAACATCAATACTTAATGTCTTTAAAAAATACATAAAGGCAATTTTAATATTATATATATTTTTTTATAAATGTAAAGAAAACCATACTTGATTATTCTTTTGATTGAATAGAAATATAATGAATGAATTGATGTTTATGCAAAATGGCTGAACTTAGGTGGTGGTGTTAGGTGATAGGTATTTTTATGGGCTTTGATATAAGGGTCGCGGTTCTATGGCAGTTGTGTTTTGCTTGCGGTTAGCTAATCAACGGTGCTGGTGATTAATAATTTCGACTTCAGCTCATCGAACAATCACTTTTTCATTATAATATTTACATGAATATTATTACCTTTGTATATGTCTATTTATTAAAATAAAGGAATTCTTTTTCCGTTACATCTAAAAGTCAAATTTTCTATGCAATAAAAACATCAATAACCTAAATTGTCTATAACTTTCTAGATTATAGAAAACTGTAGTATAAAAGTTGTATAATAATATTTTCCGTAACCGTTTCAACTATATAATTCCTGAACGTATATCCGTTAATCTGTACTATTCTTTGTATATAAAACTTGTACAGTCTGCACTGTATTTAACGGTGGTGGTGTCCATTTTCCCGTTTAGAGAGAAGCCCCTAGTGCTGTATGCTTTCTCGAAGAACAAGGAGGTGTTGAACAGCATCATAGAGAATACCAGCAGCGGAGGGATGTGTATTAACGATACGGTTATGCAGATGGGAGGTTTGGATTAAAATTATTGTAACTATCATAGCACATAGCAGAGTAGGTATTTTGTAAGCCAGGGGTCGGCAACCTGCGGCTGTAAGTTCAAAAAATTCAATTTTATCAAAAGAATACCATTCTAGTGCTCATACAATAATACAATTGAAATATATAGAGAGAGATATATTAAAACTCGTTTATTAAAAATAAAATTTGAAATATAATATAATGGTCTTAAGGTAACAATGATCTTACTATATAACAATGTATCAATGAATGACTTTATCCTACCTTTTCAGGCATATACACAATCTCTAATATTTTTCTATTATCAGACTGACGGACTAAATATAATTTCTTTTTTTTTTTACTCAATCAACATCTCTATTATCTGCCAATTAAAATGAATTAAGTATTACACATTTTCCACTTTGGGCAATACACCTTTAATTTAATTGTCCCAAGCCTTATTTCGCATCCTGTATTTAGAATGTTCTATCGGTAAGGGGCCGTCCATTAATCACGTGATGTTTTTTTCAACATTTTTGACCCCCACCTCCCCTTTGTGATACATGGTGAGGTTTAAGACTACCGCCTCCCTCCTTCAACCAAATCACGTGTATTAAAAAAAAACATAAAATCTTAATTTTTGACTTCGCTTTTCGGTTTTATAATCGCGCGTCGAAGAAAAAAACACGTGATATATTACTACACCCCCCTACCCCCTTGTGATATTTCGTGATTTTTCTCACGTGATTAATGGACGGCCCCTAATCGGATTTTAGTTAAAATTAACTTTGAGTAATTACATTAAGATAACTAAGAATTTGTACATCGATAATTATTATCAATATGTGGTGTCATGGTTGTATATTTATGCTTTGTATATATACATATAGATTAACAATAAGCTACCTTATACTCCTATTAATAAAATGCATTATTACAGTGGAAACATTACCCTTCGGAGGAGTGGGTAACAGCGGCCTAGGCGCTTACCACGGCAAAGCAACGTTTGATACGTTTACACACAAAAAAAGCTGTCTCATTAAAAATTTCTCTGCCATCGGAGAGAAACTGGCATCGTAAGTTATGTCAAAACTTTTTTTTTTAATATTTATAAGCCATTTTGGACTTAATTGATTACTTATAATCAAACTATACTCATAAATCTAATAATTTAAAAAAAACAAAGCACACATCACTAGACTAAAAAATTAATTGCAGATACTTTTTTTTAAATAAGTTAAAATATCAATTAGGGGTCATCCATAAATAACGTCACACTTTAGGAGAGGGGGAGGGGGTCGACGAACCGACGACGATATTTAGTAAAATTTGTATAGATAAATAGATGACAGGAGGGGGGTGGGGTTCAAAATCCTGAATTTAGTGTGACTTAATTTATGGACGGCCCCTTAACTACAAGTGAATTATGATATTTAATAATGTTAAGTCATACATCATCGTTAGTAATTTATGTTCTATCTCATGCAGAGGCCGCTACCCTCCGTACTCTGAGGGTAAACTGACGTATATAACCACTCTTATGAAGCCAATGCATGGACCGTCGTTGAAGTACTTACCCTATCTGCTCACATTCGCCTTAGGCGCTGGTCTCTCCTACGGCTTTCTAGCCTGGCAAAAGGTAAAGAAGTAAACAGTTATAAACAAGAAAAGATATTAACATAAGACTTGAACCGTTCAATAGAACATATATAAAAAATACAATAATGAAAGACTCCTTTAAGTACTAAAAATAAATAATTATTTTGAGGCATTTTATAACTGATCTTATATTAAAAAAAAAATGTAAAATCTAATGTATAAGATATATTTTTATAGGAACCTTATTAATTTTCGCTTCCTGACTGACTGACTATTTGAAAATCTCTCTGATAACATTATATTGTTAACAGACTTGAACTATTTATTCTGACATAGACATGTCATAAAACAAACTTGTGTATCACGAAGCAATAAAATTAAAAGTATTGATAATGATTCCTTTGAAGATTCGATACAAATTCAAATGACACGCATATCGAAATATAGTAGAGGCTTATGAATTGTTTTTTGCCTTTAGATGCAAAAAATAATTTCTTATCTTTATAAGTTTAATAATTATAAAGTATTAAAAATTATTATATTATTTTAAAAAAGTTATTAATTTAAAAAAATATTTATTTTCATTCATTATGTACTTATGATAATTTGTCATCCTTGTGCATATAAGAGATAATGAATAGTATGTAGAAAAGTGCTATGTAACATTATTTATTTATATAAACATTTTTAAAATAAAATAAATTTGTTTTAATTGGCTAATGAAACCTTATTGTTTACTGTAAAAAGCAAATTTTTAAAAAGGTATGGCATTTTAAATAAGTACATTGTACTTTTTAAAAATTAAAAAAATATTATAATGAATATGAATACGATAATGCACAAATACTTTATAAACAAAAGTATCATAATGTTTTATTGGCTTAATGCACAAACCATGCGATGCCATAAAACAATATTTTGCATAACAATTATTTCTGAAAACATGGGTCTGATTCTTTCCATCACGTTTTAAGTCATAAAAGTCTCTGGGATTGATTTATTATTTGTCCCACAAATTAGACATTAAGGTGGGATTACTTAATTTTGCCAAACAAAAGAAATCTAAAACAAGAGTAAAAACTTATCATTGCTATTAAACAAACAGAAAATGTAAAAATACCGTAGGGCTAGGGCTAAGGTTTAAGATGTTTACAACTAACATCAACTTCATTTAAGTCATTTTCAAAACAAACAAAAAAACAGCAAATGCCTAATTGTGAAGAATTTTTAATTCAGCATTGGTATTTTATAATAAGTTCTTTTATAAAAACAGCGTCCCCATCATAGCAATATCGGGTTTATAGCATAGCAAATAAAACCTTTATAACCTATTGAAGTAGGTTTCATTTGATTGAGCCTTCAAGTGCCGTGTTCGACGCCCTTTTATAACAGAATAGCACTACAGTAACGCCACCGTCTTTGATTTTGGAATAAATTCCTCATTTATAATTAGCTATGATAAATGAGGGACAATTTTCACTACGTATTTTCGGAGATAAATATTTATCTAACGAAGACTTGAAATTTTATAAGCTTTCTAGACCAACACTCGTCTATTCGGCAGTCAGTGTCATATCAATAACATATATACATGTATTTTAATTCACTGAAAAGTATTCTTAATGAAAAATGCTTAAAAAATCCACTCTGTCTCTAATTTTTTTTTTAAATAATCATATTTTTCATGATAAAGGGAACAAATTTTCATCTTTATCGAAAGTTTAAATATTCGTGAAAATATTTTTTTCGGCTATTTGGGTAGATTGCCTGAACACTGTAGCAGCGAAAAAGTGCTTGTAAAATAGTCCTGGGTAGCTCAGTGGTAAGAGCAGTCGCCCGTATTACGAAAGGTCGTGGGTACGAGACCCATCTCAGAGTGACAGGGACCAAGTGGATTTTTCAAGAATTTTTCATTAAGAATATTTTTCAGTACAGCATTGTCAATGCAAATTTGATCAAATATAATAATTAATGTACTTATTATTTCAGATGGCATCAGAAGACCTGTAAGAAGTCTAAAGTAGTATAAGAAATAGTAAAGCACTAAAATGTGATAATTTTTTTTACGGTGTCATTTAAATTTGCACAAGCTAAGAAGAGTAAATAATGTTAATATATTTTTAAAAAGAATCTAGCATTAAAAAATAAATATAATTCACGAATTTTCTACTTTACGCAATATTTTTATCAAGCTATATCTTGTTATTTACCAGTTCTAATTTTTATATTTAAAAAGTTTATATGTAAAAAGGAAGTTATAATGTCATTATTTTGTTACCAATAATTTAATGGTAAATAAGCATTTATTATTTATGTTAGCAATTTATTTTATATATTTTTATATAATGTTAAAACATAAAGAAAATTGTCGGCCTTGACTTGCCAGTCACATAAATTAACAACTCTTATTATTGATTTTTTGTATTTCACGTGCATTATCCATAAATGAAACAACTTTTAAACGGTTTCGTCGCGTTTGTATATAGTTTTATTAAATCTTAATACCGAAAATCTCAATAATGCAAAAAAAATAAGTTCTCATAATGCAATTTGACTGTTAATGAAAATATGCAATTATATTTGTTACACAAATTTTCCCAAAAACTGACCAATTTCATTCCAATTAATGGCATTTTTCCATTGTAATAGATATCCTTATGAAGCTTCATATTATTATAGGTGTACCAAAATATGATGGCATTTTGGGAAATTTTAATTTGTAGAAGGCAACAGAACTAAACTGACTTCTGACAAAAGAAGCTTTACTTTATGTATTTCTTTATTGCTATTGTCAACTAACATTGCAACTGCTGTTACGCTTACACATCCAAATCAAATCTGCTTTATTTTTTCTTATTTTCACGGTTCCTATTTTTACCTGGCGTAGAATAATGATTTCATATCTTATCCTTAACTAAGATTTCGTTTTATTGTAGTCATATTTTGCTAACATTAAAAACGATATTTCTCCCTTGAGATATCAATGGCTTTTTGGGAATTTAAAAAAATATATATATCCACAAATATTTACAACAATGTATGTTGGTATAAAAACATCAAATTTACCATTTGCGTAATACCATTGCCGTAATAAAAATCGATATTTTTCTTTTGTGTTTTTGCCATCAGATTTCGGTACGCCTGTAGTACAGTGCCATCTTTCTTATTTTTTGTTATTTTGTGAATTAGAAAGAAAGAGTCAAAAAAGTTGCTGTCAGTCTAGCTAACTCGATACGTAGGTAAGTTAAGTAGTAAGCAATCTTTCATTAATTTCACTTTTCATATAGAAATAAATTTATTCAATTGACAATTAAGTCACTAATAAAAGAAGTAGGCAAGTGCTAGATGACATCTCAAAAAATACTAGATTGCTGGGATGCTTAGGATTCTTCACTGACAGAATTTTTCTGGAATGGAATTTTTTCATGTAGGATTGTGCGTGGGACAATAGAAGATTGAAATATCCTGCTTTCTAATTTATTCTTTAACATTGAGACGTCGTTCATGTTTCCAATCTTATTTAAATCGGAGAGCATTACATTTTCTTTGACCTTACCTATAAAATCTCTAATCAGTAGGTCTAGGTGCTAGGTGCTAAAAGTCGAATTTCGGTGCTTACCTTATGAAAATAGTGCCAGATCTAACACCGAAAATGCTAAGTTGGCAACACTGACATGCCATAGTGACGTTAATGGTAGTTTGTAGCACAAGCCGAGTTCTGGTCGCCTACGTCTTTACAATCTTGTCTCGTATTTAACATGCGGCATAAATGTAAGGTGACAGTCATCCTGCCCAATTCCAGCACTGTCTAACAAATAAACCTAATGATTCCCCGATTTGTTTGTGACAAAAAAAAACATTATCATTTATTTACAGCGATACATTCAAACAAGTGTAGTGTTTTAATTAGTAATAAATATAATTTAAACCGAATCATATTTATTACTAATTGAAATGTTAGACTATTATTTCACTATCAAACTTTAAAGTATATGAGTTGAAATGTCACATGATGTCACACCTTAATAAATATTTACATAGTTGTGAACTTGTTACGTAGTGAAGCCGCAACTGAATCCCAATTATCTAGGTCGGTTTATTAGGTTGAAGTAAAATAATACGTGTTTAATATTTTTCTATTACCTGGCTGACAGACTTAATAGTTTTTTTTTATCCACGCATCATCCCTATTACCATGGAAAATTACTTTTTCTGCTTCGGTGTAAATTAAAAATCGGTCTCACTAATATTGAAGTATTAAATATTTTCTACTGTTTTCATTTGTTTATTATAGATTCGAGAAGATTGCCATTATTGAAATTCTATTTTAATAGTTTTTATTTCATCAACAATACCTTTCATGTTAAATAACATTACGCTAAGTTACTGCAGAGGTCAAATTTCTTCAATCGATTTAAAGCCTTAACCACACGATGTCTTATATGAAAATTGATTGCAGAGAATTGATTTTTACTCAAAACTGATTTGTTGATGTGTTTGCTTTGTAATCTAATATTATGAATGAATATAATTAGTAATAAGTATGTACCTATATCTACAGAAATCAAATGTGGACATAGTCCCAACTTAAAATATTGCTTTTGAATTTACTAGGCAGTGTTAAACGTTAAACGAATTGAAATTAAGCAGGTTATGGACTGATTGTAAATATTGGTAGGTATTTGGGATCAACAGATTTTGCTTATTAATAAAATATTTTTGTAATTTTCTTTGTATCATTGATCGTTCACCTATTTTCCAAAGAACCATATTTCTACTTACAACGTACCTTTGATAAATAACCGTACAGCAGACTGTATGATCAAAAATCGATCAAATTAATGTTGACCCATTATTTTGTCATTATGCAGTAACCAAACTGCAAACAGTTTGAACTATAGTAAGGCGGGCAGCGCTAACCTCTTGGATTTTAAATAAGGAAGAATTTAAAAAAACAAGAATTTGTACTTGATTTTCGGTTTGATGTATTGGCTTTGGTATTCATTCATTCAAATTTTCTGACGTAGTAAAAGTAAATTGACTACCTATCGAAAATTAATAATTAGTTAAAAGGTTAGTATTAGTTAATAGGAACGGAAATGACTGTCATTGGTCCATTTGTTTCCTGCAAAAATTTCCCTATATATTATACTACTCTTTGAATCAACTTTTACTAGAGTTGCCATCTTGTGGAGGTGCTTTTTAGTCATAGGAAGTTTTTAGTGCTTCCGTTTTTTTTATACTTCCTCATTGACATTTGCATCCTACAATTTGTGCTGTCATCTAGTGAAATATTTTATTGTAGTTTCTTTATTTTTTTTAAATACTTCCTCGTTCTATTCTCTTTGGTTTACAACATTTAGATCCAACAATTTGTGCTGCCATCTAGTGGCTAATTTTTGTAGCTTCTTTGTTTTTTTTAATACTTCCTCTTAGAATGGGTGGTTATTTTTCGCATCGAGTATATTTCCAGCTACTATATAATGAGATGGCCGTGACTATTGCAATTTCTTATTTAAAGGTATATTTCGTAGGGACTGATCATGGGATGGGTGATCACTGAATATTATTTTAAGCTTTTCCATGCCTCGCATATCATGCTTAAATGGTCCCGCCTAAATCTGCTATTTTTAATACCAAAAACCCCATTCTCTAGCTAGACCATATGTATAGTAAATCCTTATGTAAGTAATCTATCAATAAAAACGTAAGGTTGAGTCCTAATAATTAATTGGGAAAATAATAGACTGATGACAACGATAGCGAATTAAAATTGTCCTGCATATTGAATGTTAGGTAAATTAATGAGATAAAACCCGTTTTATTTATATAGACAATTGATTATACAGAAAAATATTCTTAATACAAAATGCTAGTATAGCATTGTGAATGCGAAATTGATGAAATATAATAGTTTGATTATTACAGTGCATGCAATATAGAAACGCAGTTTTGAATTTGAAGTTGGTTTATTACAAATGTTCACTTCTCACAGTGAGTTAACACAAATTGAATAGTTTGCATAGTGGCACATTTTTAATAAGTTCAGCCTCAGCAACGCGATTTCTGCGAAGCTGTTTCAAATATTCCCTGTCTCTCTCTGCTAACAACATTGGGTAAATGGCCATTTTGGCTGAATGCATTTCAATTTCATCCCTTTTGATCTTTTTGTAGTTCAAGTTATAATCCTGCAGCAGTAATGCCAAGATATCCATCAATCATAGCATATCCATTGATCCAAACAATCTGAAAGTAAACTTATACCTGGGAACACTTTATTCATTTTACCGACCCTTCTTATAAATAGAGTCAGATAGTCAACTTACCAATAATTTAAAATATCACCCTATATGCCAATAAATAAATACCCAAAACATTCGATAAAGCGTAATTGTAACTCAAAATCGCATCTTTTCACCGTTCGATCTGTTTGGCGTTTCCTAGATTGACGCGGTAGTAAAGTCATTCGGTTTATAGTGATACTCAAACTGGGAACTCAAACTCGGGCCTAAAAATATTTTCACTTAATGTTACACGTTCGTCTGTCAATGACAAAGTATTTAAAAAAAACGAAAGCGCTAAAAAAGCACCTCCACTAGATGGCGACTCTAGCAAAAGTTGATTTTTGCAGGCAATGAATGGACCAAAGACAGTAATTTCCGTTCCTTTTAACTAACATATTAAAAAACTGAAATTTGAAAAATTCGAAACTTCAATATCAATACAAATACGAAAATGTACAAATAGAATATGAGTTGTTTATTGAGTTTTGAAAATTAATTTACTTCTAAACATGAAAGAAAACCGGAATTTGTTGTCATCGAGAAATCAAGAACGTACGTATAGCGACATCTAGTTTGATTTCGGGAACTAATGTATTTTTTTAATACTTTCTCATTTATTTATTTAAGCTTCATTACAAAGAGCAGTAAATGGCAGACTTAATGCCAAGGGTATTCTACCAGTCTACTAGATAAGACGTAAGGAGCAAAATTTACGGATCAAGGAATGCAGCAATATATATTGTATATATATATATATATAATTAAAATATTTGGAATGTAGAAGCGCAGGAAAAAACAAATAGATTACCAGAGAATCTACATTACCATAATAAACTTACATTCAATATTTATAAATAAACAATTATCTAGTTTAAATACATATTATAAATGTACATAGTTATCTAAGGACTATTTAAACAGTATCAACGCACTTATATTATGAATACACTTTTTATCACCAATTTACATCAGTATGTGTTGTATTTTCATATTAACATTTCTAATTTATTAGCAAATTAGCTACAAAAAAAGATGATTACTAGAATCCATGACTCATGACATGAAGGCAAATCTCACAGGTATACCTATTAATATTGACCATATGACAGAAAAAGAACATATCAAAGACCTGACGTTGTCCTAGAAACAAGTATATAAATATATCTATAATGGAAACTAAGGGAGTTAAGAATGAAACGTTTACAATAATCATGTTTCCGAACGAACTCAATTAATGTCAAAATATATTTTATTTATGGTATCCCCATTTCCCACTAACGTTTTGAAATTACAAAAAAAAGAGGTACTTTAATAAAAAATAATACAAAAACAGACAAATTAAGGTTGTGTGAAAGCTTCGACGGTAAATCTTTTAATATTCATTTATTAACATATTAAAAGAAAAGATTATTAAGTAGTACACAGCAGCCTCCATCTATTTTGAATCATTGCAACACTGTAACTAATTTTATGAACGAAAGTGCTTGTGATGAGCAAAGACGAATAAGTGTCGATAAGCCAATATTCCGCAGAAATTAGCCAGAATCTTCAGGTATCTACAAAATATACTAAATACCACCCTCGCATGTGAGGGTACTATGTGGTGGTGCTGTTCTTCTTCCGCTAGTTCAGGTGCTTATTCACATTTGAGGGCTTTTCTAACTACTCCCTACCCATAATCTTATACGGCGGCCATATTTATAAGTCATGAAAGGCGTTGACGCTCGACACCATCATAATTATTTGCGTTGTATTCTTTCACAGGACCGATGGCTGCGATACGCAAAAAATTAGTAATCGTCGGTGACGGTGCTTGTGGTAAAACATGTCTGCTGATCGTGTTTAGTAAAGATCAGTTTCCGGAAGTGTACGTGCCGACAGTGTTTGAGAATTACGTCGCTGACATAGAGGTGGACGGCAAACAAGTAGAGCTGGCATTATGGGATACAGCCGGACAAGAGGATTACGATCGGTTGCGGCCGCTGTCATACCCCGACACTGATGTTATTCTGATGTGCTTCTCGGTGGACTCGCCGGACTCGCTCGAGAACATCCCGGAGAAGTGGACCCCTGAAGTGAAACATTTCTGCCCCAATGTGCCCATTATACTCGTCGGAAACAAAAAAGATTTACGCAATGATCCGGCTACTATCAATGAGCTTCGTAAAATGAAGCAAGAGCCCGTGAAACCTCAGGAAGGTCGGGCTATGGCCGAGAAAATTAATGCATTCGCTTATCTCGAGTGCTCTGCCAAGAGTAAGGAGGGAGTACGTGAGGTGTTTGAAACGGCGACTCGTGCCGCGTTACAGGTCAAAAAGAAGAAGAAGACTAGGTGTTCTCTGCTGTAAATGTGCTGTTGGTGGGAGAACTCTGATTTATGAATCGTTCGCATACTGCCTGACACTTACGTTTGAAACGACTCGGACTGCAGCAGTCGCGATGTCAGCCATACAGTGCTTCCTTCTGAAACTGATAGCTGACGCGACATCGCGGCCCGCGTTGCACGCACACCCACTCAGTATTCGTGTGGCTACACTTTCACAATTGGTACTTGTATATTTTATAGATTTTATCTATAAAGGGTAAGCGTAAATGCCTTAAAACATATGGTCGGGGGCAATCGTGGGTCCTGTAATGATGGACTCACTTGATTTTTTCGTGCTATACTATCATGTTATATTATTCAAGTAGCATTTCTTCATATAGATTTATTCCTCGACCGGTGTCGTCTCACCGAGACTTGATTGTTTAGTTTCATATTTTGTATTTTAATTTTTTCAATAAAATAGTGATGTATAAATTGTGTAGGTGATGTTTATTTGACATGGAGCGAAAGCCCCAATTCTCAGCTAAGTGCCTGTCAACTAGACGCGTCTCTGAGACGTCCATCTGATTCTATAGGGCAGTGTTATTGTAATCTATTGTTTGTGTGAAATTTAACTTCCCATATTGCATGCTAATATAATTTATTAGTAATAAAGGAACCCCATGTTTTAACAATTCTTTTCTAAACTCTTTTTGACTTTTATAAAAAATTTAATACAGCATTTATAACTAAAAGGTGTTTAGGATGGGGACTATTTAAGTTAAAATCAATCATCTATATGTTATGTTTTATTAGTATTGTAAGTAAAAAAATTATCTTTCAAATATACATTAATTAACATAAAATAATTATTAGACTTCCTTTTATAATTTAAGATATTTTGGATCTATTCCAATTACAAATTTATTAACTAATCATTGACAGTTTCAATTTAGGCATTCCTTGTCATTTTCAATAGTTGTAGTGGATTGAATCTTCTCTTTGGCGCGAACATTAGCTGTCTCTTTTGATACATGGTGGCTGTACGATAGGGCACAGTGATACCATCTGGTAGATGCCTTTCTTGACCCATTATCTCTGGTACCCAATCAGCATACACCAATGTATTGACTAGAGACAGTTTGTCATATGGTATCGGGGTAATGACATACAGAATTTGTTTTTCCAAGTCAACTCCTCGTATTAGCCCTGTAATATATGAGACATAATGCTTATCAATTATTATATTAATCAGCAATTTATTGCTGCAGGTTTAAGATAACGACTGACACTCAAAATTACATACTTATGACTGCACACTTATAAATATACTTGTTATTGGATATTATTTATTTTATAATATTAAAGATAAGTGACTTATTTTGGTTCTCAGTATTAAAAATCTATTTGATGTCACATTTAAATGCATGACATCATTAGAGGAAAGACCATTACGTATTTACAAAGCTTAATACATATGAATCATCATCGGTGACATCATAAGTTGTATTATTCTAATGACAATGTCAAAAGCATTATAGTTGTTCATGATCATATTGATATCGCGATTAGGTTTCTTTTAAGTACAATTTTCTAGTAATTAAAATAATTCAAACAGGTTCAGTCAAAATATTACTAGATTAAACTTCTTCCGTACGACACGTTTTTGTGTCGTGTTGTGTTGTGTTGTGTTGTGACGTGACAGATACCTATCAGTTTCATAGATTAATATGGTTAGACTTTGCATGGTGTTGTGTGGTGTTCATTTTTACGTACCTATCAGCAACACGCGACCACAACATGACAAATGAACGTGTATCCTTACAGCTGAAATATCCTTTCAACTTCATCATTATCAAAACGTCGTTTATTTACTTAACATATTGATAGGTACCTATTTTTATAAAAAGAAAAGGTATAATATTTTTCATACCGTGTCCGTGACACAACACAGGCTTATCTCCCAGGGTAAACACATCACCGACTTTATCTTGCGTAGTTAGTTGGCATAGCGCTACTATTTTACCATTGATCACCTTCGTTACAGCATCTTCGCTAATTTTGACATTCAATCCAATATGCAGGTCTTTCAAATTTACTCTAAAACAAAAACGCCAGTTATGACTGTGCTATGACCTAGAAGTTGTTGATGACGTCATTGCTGCGTAGGGCGATTGCTCCTTCACCCTACATACTTCCTGTTGCAATAAAAATATAAAAGTTGGTCGTTCTTGAATCTTTGTAGCTGAATCGTAGTTTTTTTTAACATTTTTACTTTTGCAAATAAAGTTAAAATAAGTAAATTTTCTTATACAAGCTAATTATACTTTAATCATTACTGACGGCATAATTTTAGAATTTTACTATACTTACTCATATGGTTTTATAACTAATAAACTAGTTTGCTCTTTAGCAACTAACATATCGCCAAAATAAGCTAAAAAATTTAAATATCTCTCATCTCTTGCAGGCAATGAGTAGTTTTTTTTAACTGGATTTTCCGTATGATGTGCTACAAAGAATGAATAATCGAAATCCAATGTTAAGTCCAAATTTTTGAATAGATAGTCATTTTTATAAGTATTTTCATATAAATTCTTTATAGTTCGAGAGTCTAAATACATTTCAAATCTATGTTTTGGATTTTTAGAATCTATTTGTAGCAGGTGTGTTGGTTGTGCTTGAAGTATCGTAAGAACCATGAACTTTAATCCCATAGCGTTGCAAAGACCCATTGTGTTTATAATCCATGGCATAGATTTCAACTGTTCGTTGTTACAACAGTGACTAATTAGAGCGCTGACGGCTGTGGCGTATCGTCTTGGATTGTCCATTGTGTTGATCATGCCCAAGTTTAACATCCTGGAAAAAAGTTGATCAGTTAGTATTGAAAAAACATGATACACATTTATGCCATTGTTTAAATTAGGGTCGGTACAAATCTGACGAAAAATCCTTCGAGCATCTCGAGGAAGTATGCGTTAGTACGCCACGGAAACCGTAGAGTGTGCGAAATTAAATTTCATTTCATATTTATCTCGTAAGAATTAACATGACACCTAATGGTCAATTTTACTTGTCCAAGAAACGAGAATTCGGAAAATTTCAAACCGCTCTTATAATTTTTTTTAAATTTAACGCTACACAAAATCCCGGACACAAAAACCTAAGTTACCATTATAATGAAAAAATATAAGAAACTCAATCTTAAAGTACCTGAATTTGCATTGATAATTCAAAAAAAATACATCGCGTTGGGGGCCGTAATAAATTGTTAGGTTTGGAGCGGTCCCCTAACCTATAAAAAAGATTAAATATTTTTAAATTGTTTATTTTATACTTTTTATAGATATGTACTTATTATAATGTAGATTCTTGTCGAAAATTTTCAAATTTACATTTAAGTTAATTTAAGGTTAATTTTACTTAATAATTACTGTATCTAATATTTGTTACTTAATGTTTTATATTAATCTTCACCTCTTTAATATAATAATTTTCTCCTCAGCTGAAGCTAAGGACATTCTTGATTAAGTCATCAATATTATCTTTCAGTGCGCTTTTATTTGAAGCCCCACTCGAGTATATTTGCAGACATTTGGTTACTCTTTCCCACTTTTATCCCCCACAATTTTTAAACGGCTCGTCCGATTTTCATCAAACATGTCTAAGAACACTCGCACATAAGTCACCTTTAATAAAAAAAAAAATAATAACTTGAAATTGCTTCATCCGTTCAAAAGCTATAATGTACCTAGATAGAGTCACACGCAGACACGTCAAACTTATAACAAACACCCTTTTTTTTGCGTCGGGGATTAAAAATCATATCCGTGAATATTACCTCGGTTGCATCATAAAGCATCGAAAAATGCGTTTGGCTGAATTTGTAATAACATTTCGAAAATATAAAGAAATTATAAGCGAAAGATCATCAGTTGTCATGTTAAAGACGCCAACCGAAGGGACTCTACGCATCTTCCGTTAGATATGCACCAACACTATTCACTTAGTAAAAGAGAAAATTGGAACTAAAATGATGGCCTTTAACCTAAAGGCTTAAGCACGCTGGTTGTTAGCTCCGCCATTTCATATCTCGGGTTCGATTTTTGTTCGGGTATATTTAAAAAAAAAAGTTTTCTATAGTGGCTCGGGCAGTGCCCTTTTCAACCGGGGCAGTAACTTGATATTGCGTGTACAAATTAACTTTATAAAATAAAATAGAAATCGAAATGAAATCAGACCTCCCGTCTATATAAGATGGCGTATGGCGTTAACAACTATTTTAATTAATTACTGGGAAAGTGTATTGCTAATAATAAGGTACCTGCTGTAATTAAGCCCATTGAAATTGCTAAAACACTTCTATTCTGTTATCTGTGTTTCTATTCAAACTTTACCTTCACATACATAACACGGCGTGTTTATCGATGTTATGCTTGTATGAGAAAAGTTTGAACAGAAATAAAAGTTTATTAAATGTTTTTATTATTATTATAATACGTATTATTTTGGTAATGACATGACTGATGTAAATGCCGTTACTTATGATAAAGAGTTGGTAATTTTTTCCGCTGGTTCTTTTTGTCAACCAAAGACGCCCAGAATGAATGGTAGGGACAAAAATTTTGGACGATTCAAATTGCTTGTAACAAGATTATTTGAATCAAGTATTTTTAATTTTCATTAGCACGAAATTTTAAAGGTGTGCTTTATTACAATGGGGCCCATTATTGCCGCAGTTACCTTAATAAACGAAATATAACACATACATATGGGGTGTCTTGAGATGTGTAAAGTTAGGTCCCAATAGTGGCTTATCCACAACTGTAGCTGATATATTGCCAGCGACTGTAAATTCCGCCTGTCCCGGATCAAGGTCTACCACTAGTACGGGCCCTCGTGACACCAGCTTATTCACGTAGTAACGAAGAAACGTCGACTTTCCAACACCTTTGCCGCCACAAACAATGCCTCTACTCTGACCAGCTGTAAAGGATAAGTATTGAATGAATATATATTTGATTGATTACATTTGAATATATTTAAAATATTTATTTTGGATTGCATGAACATTGATGCAAATACTCTCACTAGTAGCGAAAAGAAATAAGTACTTCAAAAAATCATCAGTCCTACTGGATACCAGAGGTAGCCCAATGATTAGAGCAGTCGCTCGAATTTCGAAAGGTTTTGGGTTCGAGTCCCACTTCAAGACTGTGGTGAAGTTTTTAAGCATTTTTCATTTCTTTTTTTTTTAATAATAAGTATAGAACAAAATAATTAATAAGTATCAGAAGTACCCATAATATTGTTGTGATTCCAAGTTAAACAGCTATAACCCTTGTGTGAAAATCGAGAACAGGTAATAGTACATCATCATCGTCATCACCAACCTATTAATGTCCGCACTGCTGGGGCACAGACCTTTGGATGGATAATAATTAAATAATTGTAGAATGTGCTATGATCCATCACATGGGTCTAAATAGGATTGGTGACTTAATGAATGTAGATGCAGCCGGGCCTAACAGCTCAAGCCCACTTCCAAAGCTTCTGAACTCGAGATAACAAATATTTGGTCACCCCTTTTATGACCTGCCATGGTGAAACTTGCTTAGCTTCTAAATAGCAGGCTGAATGTGTTAGCCATTGCACCATCCAGCTCTTCTAACTATATGAGGTTTCGCTGATATATATCAATAGATGTACACAATGATAATTATCAATTGCTATTTATCCTATTAATCGTTAATTTAAGTAAGGAGTCTCAGCTAAAAATTAACCAACCTGAGGTGATGCTGGCAACATTGGCCTGAAGTAGCAAACTTACTAGAAATTTCAGGTTTTCCATATATATATATACTATATATGTAACTGGCAATCCACGCATGCATATATTTTTTAAATTATTTTATAATAAACAGATATCAAAAAAGTAGCAGAATTTCATATATCTGATAATTATATTTTGATATATAATACAAATTTTTGTGAACCCTGATCTATATTTAGTACTGTCACCAGCTTAAATGTACCATACATGTTGTTCTGGTGATTCCACAAAAGGACTTTCATTGATATCGGAAACAATGTGAAAGGTCACTGTTATTGACTATAGATAGCATGTGGGGACTTAATACAAAGAAATTCAGGCAAATAAAAATTAGAAGTAATAGTATATTACATGTATGATTCAGTAACATGCTATCTCTTGCTCACCCATCTTGGACCTAAATCAGTTTAGGTATACAACAAGTGCCATCTAGTGTTGCTGTCAATAGATTGCGCCAGTTGTATATTAAGATGAGGTAAATCAACATTTAAAAAAAAATATTGTAAAAAGGACAAATTAATTTTTAAATAAATAATAGGTATATGTTTTCAACAATTCTTCTAATAATAATGACATGAATATCCTGTGTATTATTATCAAAATAATGGATAAAAATTAAGATTGCATTGTAATTTTTTTGAAGTTACCTCTTTTAATATATTAACACAATGAATGTGAAACCTGGGCAGTCTACCCAAACAAGTTTAATTTAAAACAATACCCTAACTATAATTAATAACGAAAAATAGCTACTCACAGGTACCAAAATATTATTTTACTTACATAAACCATGTTCAGCTACTTTTCTCCAGCAAGTCACTTCTTCAATAGATTTCCCCTGCCTAGTTGAATATAAGGAACAGCCAAGAGTTTCTGAAACTTTTCTTAAACATGGATCAACATTTCTACTGACTTTATCAAACAAGTCAGTAGATGGCATATTACTTTCTACAAAATCCATCTTTTGATTGTTAAGTTTACTTAGACTAATAACTCCATCATTATCATTAATTGTTGTAACTATTTCTTCAGCATCAGACACCGAGAGGCCTTCAGCTGTTAATTTACTAAATAAGCCATTGTATAAATTTTGACTCGCAATAGTTTTCAAACAATGGGCATAATTATAATTTGGAGCATAAATCTCATACACTTCATCATTCAATTTAAAACCAAATAAGTCTAAACTGCCCCCTAATGCTTTCAAATGTACTTTTCCATGAATAAATAATTCAGCTGGATACTTTAATACAAAGATGCAACAGTTATCACCATAATAATACTTAATGGGGCTTTGACAATTCTCTTCTACTGAATCTATTGACATTTCTTTTTCAGAAATACTTTCTGTGTCATCATATACATCTTCTATGGTTGGTGCTATGCTTACATCATTATCAGTAGTTTCAATATTAGCTTCACTAGTAAAATAATCACATTCAGAAGTTATGCTATCAACTTCTTCCTGTATTTTAATGTCTTCAATATTCATATCCTCTATAGTAAAATTGTATGATTTATTTGTTGAATTTATTATTTGTATATCAGTTGGAAGGTTTTTTATTGTTGGATATTTATAATCCCCTAAGAGTTCACTCAACTTTTGATCTGACATATCTGAAGCATCAACTGATATAAAAGCTGGAGAATTAGAGTATTCAATACTTGTGTCATCTTCAGACTCTTTATGTTTTGTACTAATTTCTATTTTAGGAATATTATGTATATTATTTCCTTTATTTTTTTCTTTACTTATGTTATTAGGAAGTTTCTTTTGTGATTGTGATTCTATTTCTAGTTTTCTTTTTTTTGATTTCTTACTTGGCTTATGTTTACCTAACTTATCCAATATTTTCATAGCTAATTCTCCATCTGCATCAAAGTCAGAATTTTCTGTGTCCTTTTCTGAAGATGTTCCAGATAAACTACTAATTATGGATATATCACTATTGGTTTCAGTGTATGATGTTATATTACTGCTATGCATATCATCAGAAAGGCTTAAATTATTATCTTTATACTCTGATATAGATTCTATATCGCTCTTAGAACTATCATTTGAAATATGGGAAAGGTTGATATTATCACTGTTTTTACTATTAATATCTTCCTCAATGTCTGATAAATCCACATCATCATCAGATGCTAAATTTTCACGTGTTGTGACTGCGTCATTGCTAGAATTTGTGAGGTTTAAATCTGAAAATCCACTAACAGAACTCGAATCATCATGATATTCAAACTCACTAGAATCTACGCAATTCTTTATAAGTTTGCTATCACTTCGCTTATATCCAAATAACATTTGTTTCAACTGTTTCTTCATTGCTCCTTCTGATTTGTTATCTTTACGAGACGATTGTTTCTGTTTTTTTACTACGCGGGTATTCTCAAAATCCATTTCAATTTATTTTTATTAAAGTTTTTAGGGAATTTAGTTTTGGCTTAACTCTGCACGCTGATTACAACATTTACAAATTCTGAAATATTTCTATTTATAATAGCATCCGAACTACACACTTAAAAGTTAATAAATTCAATTCAAAATGTACAAACAAAATGTGACAAACTTTAAAAACCCACGTTGATTTTGACAACTTGACATTAATGTTTGGTTGACAGTTCAGTTTTTTTTTTCAATATGGACTTGTTCCGTTATACACGGAAATTTTGCCAACATCCCGTAGTGAGAGAGACACGTGATTTAAGAGACTGAACGGTAGTTATAATCAAATATGTACGGTAATTAATCAATTCTTCCTTGAGATTGTTCTTTCTCTACTAAAAAAAAACAACACAAGAGCAGATATCATTATAACTACAATAATTTAAATACATAAAATGACAACACAAAAGCAAATAACACTATAACTACAATATTTAAATCCATAAAAGAGAAATTTTTAACATTTATTTTTATAATTTGATGTCATGTTTTTTAATAAATTTGCAAAGACGTAGAAAGCCAGGTTTGTCAGAAATAGTAAGAAGTGAGTTCTTCTTCTTCTTCTTTTTTAATTCATGGCCTATTTGCATTTACACCATTCCGCCAATGTCACGTTTGTGGTCTTTACACGTATAGAAACAATAATAAAATATGTAAAATTTTGAATATAAATAAAATAAAAAAAAATAGCTCTGAGCGCGTCTATCTGATTACATTGTTAAAGATAATACAAATAGAATGTATATAGAAAACAAATATATTTATAAATTAAGACTATTATTGATTGCAAAGAATTTAGATAAAATTTTGAATGGGCTGGGATTCTCCATACTCAAGATACATTTTATATGTGTTGGACGTGGAACTTTTGATGGTAGCAAATGGATAAATTTGAACAATTAAATAAAATATGATCCGTAGTTCCTTCCTGAATGCCACAATCGCAGAGGGGGTTGTCTTTAATTTTAAATTTGGCAAGTCGAACTGGGGTACACACATGTCCAATTCTCAGGCGACAAATAATTGAAATCGTTTTTTTACTTAAAAGCTTTTCCTCAAAGAACCAGGCAGTACTGGGGATAGTTCTCTGAATGTCAAAATAATACTTTCCTGCTCTATTTCTAGTATTTTCCCAATCAACATTCCATGACCTCATTAAATGTTCATGTGCTAGTACAAAAAGATCGTGATGAAAAATTTTGGAATATTTTAAAGAGCCAGTTATAACAGCTTGCTTAGCACATGCATCAGCTGTCTCGTTCCCAGGAATACCACAGTGTCCTCGGTATTAGACTCGGTATTACCCTCGCATGGTATCCATGCGAGGGTAATGAGCAGCTTCTTAAGATGGCACCTATGCAATGCTTGTCTTATTTTAAATATTATTGGAAATTTATTTTTAGAACGAAATGGATGTGATATTATAGACTGAAAGCAACTCTGTGAATCTGTGAAAATGATAGTTTTGTTAAAGTTATGAGATTCGGCAAATAAGATGGCCTCAAGGAGAGCTAAAGCTTCACCTTTAAATACAGAAGAGAGAGAGGGAATTTTGAAACTTAATACTAATCTGTGAGCAGGAATCCATACTGCTGATCCAACTGGATCATTAACATGCTGCTTGGATGCATCAGTGTACATAGAAATCCAGCCTTTATATTCCGATGCTAATTTCCGTGCCATTGTACGCATGGCATAGGGAGAGTCTTTGTCGATTTCAAACCAAGAAGAATGACCAGCTCAAAAATAAGTGACTCAAAGCTATTTTCAAAAAGAGGAAGACGAGAATACCGTTCTATGGGAAGGGAAGGAGTATGAAATTTTTTGTAGCTATGGAGGATACAAGAGACACCTACCGATGAACTGGAGGAAGTACTAGAAACTTTCAACAATATTTCTAATTTTTTTAGTAAAGGATGGGATGCACGTTGTATAACTTTAAGGAAAAATCGATCACTCAAAAATTACCTACGCAGATACAAAGGGGGATCAACGCATTCGATCTGGAGACAATTGATAGGAGACGATTTCATGGCATTATTATAGGTTAGACCCGCAAGCATTTTGATTGAACTTTAGAAATTTTATCAAGTGGCAACTTATTACATGGGTCTAAAAGAAAGGAACCGTAATCGAAATGACAGCGGACTAGGGCATTATATATTAATTTTTGAGTGAATGGATGAGCACCCCACCAGAAAAAAAAAAGAGAAAGAGCACGGAGAACATTGACCCCTTTCTCGCATTTATTTACAACACTATGGAAATGAGGAGTTCCTGATAAAAGAAGAGAGTTAAGATTAACTGGACGGGGAGTGACAGTTCAGTTAGTAATGTCAACTCGGAATAGGCATGTTCATCTGAAATCTATTAATTGGAAAAACGATTATTTAAAGTAAAATAATCGAACTTTTAGATCGATTTGGAATGCTGCAATGATTCTCGAATCGATGCATGAACCCCTCGAATCGAACCGATTCAATTCAGTTTAAGAACTAGCAATATAAAATTCCTAAAATGATTACGATATTTTTAGTTTTTTTTTATATTTGCATAAATAAATATTTATTAACGCATTCGAATGTCAGTATAGTATAGTTGTCACTACTGTCACTGTTACTCCAGCTCATGGAATCATCCATCATACATCGCCCCACTCGTTAGTAAGAAAAAAATAAAACGTACAATAAAGTTGCGGACATACCTAGATGGCGACTCTAGCAAAAGTTGATTTTTGCAGGAAACGAATGGACCAAAAATAGTCATATCCGTTCCTTTTAATTAACATATAAAAAAACTGAAATTTGCAAAGTTCGAAACTTAGATATCAATACAAATAAGAGAAAAGTACAAATAGAATACGAGTTGTTTATTGAGTTTTGAAAACTAATTTACTTTTATACGTGAAAGAAAACCGGAAGGGTTGTCATGGAGAAATCATGACAACCCTTCCGATCCAATTTCAATTAAAAAAATCATATCACGGTTGTTTGTGCAACTGACCGGTTTCGCGAAATAAACCGCTTTTACCATTGTCACGGGTCCAGAATAATAACTCCAGGGCACGGGTTCCTATCAAACTTAGAAAAATTCTGCATCCGAACTGTCCTTCAGTTCGGCAGTGCCATCCTTGATTAATTTATTACATAACCCCCATCCCTTATTCAACATTAGTCTGGTAATGCCATAAGGCAATCGTTCTCCGAAACTATATACGTACTAACTAGACTATTTTGTTACTAACCTGTTTCGTAACGCACTAGATGGATTGAGAATTCATTTCAAAATTTCGGAGTTGCCAAAGAGGACGGAACTGTGAAACTGACGCGATCATATAGGCATATTTACTAGCGTCTCTGGTAGAATGCTCGTGTAAGAAATCGTAGCAATATTTGGTTTTGTTAAAAGTGATCGCCGAGTTAATATTGATCTTCCTTTCAATTTCTTATTTAAATAGAACGAAATGAAAAAAGAATAGTTTTTAAAGAAGTTTAATTATATATAACCACTCCTGCGTTCCAGATAAATACGTTCCATGATTGTATCAACATTCAATACAGTCCATACGAATGATAACTACGCTTAAACCACTAACGGACACATTGCTCAGTTGAATGATGTCTCCGTTAGATAGCGACTTATTGTTTTACTGTAGTGTTGGCATGAGACTGTACCGTTGGGTAAAGTCTCATGTCAAGACTGAGTTTCTGTCTATATTAGACCATTCACTGCTGTGTGAAGGTCGCGAGGAAGTCAGTGACAATCTTCTTGAGGGCGGCGTCAGACTCTGGGGAGATCTGGCCGTCTTTAGCGATGGTGGTGAGGAGACCCTGGTGACTGGTCTTGATGTGTTGGGTGAATTCCTTTTCGAAAGCAGTGATCTTGGTGGGGTCCAGTTTGTCGAGGTGACCACGTACTCCGCAGTAGATAATGGCGACCTGACAGTAGAATCAAATCAGATTCACGAAAGAGTTCCTTTGGCATAACCTCTCTTATTGCTTTTGTAATAAAAGCAAAAACATTGTGATCAAAGTGATTTCTTTTGTGAAATTAATATGATATCTGTATATAAACACAGGGTCATTTGTTTTGATTACTTGATATATTTTAATATCAAACAAAAATTTAATTAAACAGCATGACTTTCAATGTAGATACTTCACTAAATACGCGAGCGAAGCGTAGTTTTTTCGTTTGTAAATTAAATGTAGATGTATAAGCATCGAGTTTTGTTAAAACTCGTAGTTAAACTAAAGTTTATGATTTTAGCTGTCAACTCCTTTTTAGACCCAGAGTAAACGCGCGACTCATTATCATTGCCGTTCGACAGGACGACAGAGAGCATTCCATATAATTCCATTGGCGGATTATTGGATTTTAAGAACTGCATATGCAACTGGGACTATACATGCTTTCTGAAGCACAGAGGAGTTAGAGATGATATTTTTTTGGTTACCCATCCTATGACAGCATGTTATACATGGCCGACTTTATCCATATAAGAAGCCTAGAATGGTTAGGTTAATAGTGCAAATGGTAGTAGAAAAAAAAATATTCTGTAAAGAAGAGAATTTACCTGTTCCTCAATGGCCATGGGCACATATTGTCCCTGTTTGAGCAGCTCAGTGAGACGCATACCGCGGTTCAACAGCTGTTGTGTGGCGGCGTCCAAATCTGAACCGAACTGGGCAAAGGCGGCTACCTCACGGTATTGGGCCAATTCCAGTTTCATGGAACCGGCCACCTGGAAAGAGAAAAACGTGTAATTGCAGGATAAAGAGAGATTGTTTATTTAAATCTTAATATATTGAGAATACTAAAAATGGATCAAGTTTACAATCAACATAAAAGGTAATCCTTGTTCCTTTTATTTTGGTTTATAAAATAAATCTGTTGCAAACCCATGAGACTGCAGTATATTAAATTTTTTTTAAACTCATTTGAGATTAAACAATCAATCAAGAGATTCTTGTAACACAGATTATAATCTGTGTTATAAGTATCGAAAAGCGGTTAAGCCATGACGGAGTATCGGGTGACGTCACATTTCAATTAACTAAACGACAACGTCTTTGTTGCCAGTGCTTGCGACGTCACTGGTCGAAATCTCTTGATTGATTGTTTTCACGTGACAATTTAAATTAATGAATAAAATATGTTTTCCTTTGTTTAATAACACTTTGGAGAAAAATAAATCTGATAAGTGGTTTAACATTTACTGATATAGGCAAAAAAGATTAAATAAAATATTGAAGTCACAGTCAAGATAACTGCAAGTTTGGCACAAGTTTCAATGAAAATTACCTGCTTCATAGCCTTGGTCTGGGCAGCGGATCCTACACGGGACACAGACAGACCTACGTTGATCGCTGGCCGGATACCCTTGTAGAAGAGCTCAGTCTCCAAGAAGATCTGACCGTCAGTGATGGAGATCACGTTGGTGGGAATGTATGCGGACACGTCACCGGCTTGGGTCTCGATGACAGGCAGAGCTGTTAGGGAGCCACCGCCCATTTTGTCGGACCTGAAGAATTACCTTATTGTAACATATATCTAGAGCATGCAGGCTTATTCAACATTTTGCAACTGCAAATCAAGAGAATTTGGTTTCTCATTCACGATCATCAGCCTTTTTACGCCCCCACTGCAGGGGCTCAAGCCTAGTTAAGGAGGATGGACACTGACCAATTGCCGATTGGACAGTATTAACGACTCCATATACAGCCGGAATTAATGACTCAACATGCTTTCCATATCACTGAGTAGCTCAAGATAAAAAAATGTTTAGTCACCCATCCCGTCACCCGATCCTTACGAAAGTTTCTCAGTCACAACGATTGCAGGATGCGGTGCTTATCCACTATACCACCAAGCTATTCAACTAACATATAAATATCATATGTATTTTATTTATTTTGGTTCTCTAACAGTGAGCATAATGTTACATGACAATATAAAGAGAAATGCACAAAAAAAATACATGCCTATTGCCCCACCACTTACAAGAGAATACTGCATGCATTAAATTGATAGTAACATAAAAAAAAAGAATTATTATCATTATATTATCATTAAATCACATATGCCTTGTGGAAGCTGGCTAAGATTTCAAACAAAGAAACTGCTCTTATGGCTTACTATGGACACGTAGACTCAATATTGAGATACGGTATTATAATATGGGGAAATTCTTGTAATATAAATAAAGCATTAATTGCACAAAAATCATGCATTCGAGCCATATGTGACGTAAAAAAAATAGTATCTTGTAGACCACTTTTTAAAATCTTAAAAATACTAACGGTCCCTTGCTTATACATTTATGAAATATGTGTTTTCGTTAGGAATAATCCGCACTTTTTTGAACGTTATGATGATATTCCTCGTAAGTTTACCACTAGATATCCAAACAAATTGCAGCTACCTTTGATAAAAACGGAAATGTGGCAAAAAAGTACTTATCCTATGACAATCAAAATTTTTAATAAGCTGCCAATAAAATCTAAAAACGACAGGCTTAGTATATTCAAGTCTGAGTTAAAAGAATGGCTTACGGCGAAATGTTTTTATAGCTTAACCCTACAAGGCTCAATTTTTTTTTTAGTTGTGGAAAAAACATATATGATGTAATTAGTTATTAGTAGTTAGGAAAAAATAAAATAAAAATAAAAAATACAATATTTTTCTAGAAAATCATTTTTTTATATCTGTTCCATATATGGCACACTGAGCCTTAACTATGCTATTTGGTTCTAAACGACAATAAACGTACTAATTAGGAAATAGTATCTTATTTTAATTATCACAAGATTTTTCTTATTTTTGAATTATTAACATAATAAAGATGTACATTTCAAAGTCCGAAACAAAATGAAATAAGAAATAATTATGTTGAAAAAAGCTACTTATGAAGGTTTCGAAAACAATTATTATCTTTATTCAGGCAAAGTTCTACCTGACATTTCTCACAAGAAATAAAGCTTTTTCCTTTGCAACCAGGATATTTACATCTTTGTCTTTTTTCACCCCAGACCGGAAAATGCTCAAACCCGTCACGTCTAACGTCACGAGGAGGTAGGATTGCAGTATTGGGCTTCTTTCTTTTCTTCTCAATTTCTTCAGACGCCATTGATGGTCTACCTCTGTTCTTGTTCATGGATAGCCCAATCATACATAAAGTTTTTCCTACCTCAAATTTGAAATCTTTTTGTTTTAGTAGAACTCGTGTATTATTCTGTTCCCCAACTCTTTTGTACAACAACCAACTATTAATCAAAGTAATATCAAGAAGATGATAAAATAGTCTCAAGTACCACTTTCGAGTCCTTATTTTTATTTTATATTTCCCTAGGAATGAATCTAGAAGATCGACACCGCCCATATGCTGGTTATATATTTTGATTATTTTGGGGCAATCTACTTGGATATATTTTTTCTCTTTCTTGCAATATCTTCTTACAGATTCTTTTGGCTCTTTGCCCACAAAAGACGACGATAAAATGACCACCTTATTATCGTACCACATAACGGTTACAATATCTGTGTTATCACAGTTTGCCACCCATTCCTCTGAATAACCCCTCTGAATCTTCTCCTTTTTGAGGTCTTTTATGGTAGGTATTTTGAGATCTTTTCTGAAGCGACCTTTATTGACAGTTCCTAGCGAATGTATCCCTTCTTTGGCCAAATAAGAGATTAATTCCGTTGACGTATAATAATTATCAAAAAATAACTTGTAATTTTGATTCTTAGGTATTGATCTAGCTAAGCGTACTACAATATTTGAACTTGCTCCTAAGTCTGGCTCACTGGAATATCTAAGTGCGGGATTGTTCTCCATTCCGGAATAAATTTCGAAATCGTAAGCAAAGCCACGATCATCGCATAGCACCAGTAGCTTATAGCCCCATTTATGTGGCTTGTTCGGCAGGTATTGTCGGAGAAGATTGGATGCTTTCGTCGCGCACATTTGTTCGTCGACGGATAGGGCCTCCCGTTTAGGCACACTTTGACATTTTTTCTTCAATGTTTCTAATATTGGTCTAATCTTATGCAAACGATCATACCCTGGATTATCTGATGGTGGTTGTGTGGAGTTATCGTTAAAATGTAAGAACTGGCAGATTTTTTTAAAATCATTTAGTGACATTGTCTCCATAATCAGAGGAATACCCAATTCAGCTGCCCAATACATTCTAATATTTGGTAATGGTGTCAAGCTCATAATCAGACAAATACCTAAAAACTTTTTCAATTGAACAACTGAAATTGTAAATGGCTTTGAGGAATTTTTTTGGATACTAAATTTGTGCATTTCTTCTACAATGTGCCTAAGTAACTCGTCATCAAAGAACCACAAAAAATATTGAAGGGGAGTTTCAAAGTCTATAATTGGTGACTGTAAACTCGTATCACCAGTAAACGGAGAATGAGGTGAATGAAAAGTTGTTTTTCTCCAAATGAATCTCCTTTTATTTCTTTTGGCAACAGACGCAGAACCAGCGGTTCTAGTTGATGATCGCCCAAGTGCCCGTGATTGTCTAATGGTACTCGTAGTTATACCTGATGTGCTAGGCTGCGAGACTGATATTTCTTGCCGGTCCCGCACAATATTCACAACATGAATATCCTCGTTTGCAAGAGACAAAGATGGTCTCTGAGGCGGTAATGAAGTTTCCTCGTCGCTAAGTGATTCAGATATCAGCTTTTGGATTGACTGAATTTTTCCGATGTCATCATCACTTCCAGCGTCAGAAAAATCTTCCTCATCTTCACTCCCAGAAGGGATATTCAAGAAATCTTCAATTTCTTCCCTACATAATCCTCTTCGCGACATAATCTATAAAATAATAGTAATCATTTAGCGTCAGAACGAAATAGTAAAACGAGCACGAAAGCTCAACGTACCGTATGTGGAACATAGATAAAAATAACAATTTCTAATACTATTACTACAATAATATAAAAAAATAACTTACCTCTGCAAAAAATACACTCCTTATTACTCACTTAAATTTTTTTGGACTCAGAAATATTCAACTTCTATTTTTTAGAAATTGTTGAAATCACGAGAGCGGTTAACGTAAAACTTTTACTCAAATTTCTTGCCTAACTATCTAAACAGGAAACAGTGGCAACATCTATGCGCAATGCTTTGTATTATTTAGTTGCTAAGTATCCAACGGTTGTGTTCAGATTGATAATAGATGTCGCTGCACGTTTTTCATCGCTGTAGGGTCGATATAAGTGGTTGTTCCACATGTGGCACTGGGGGCCTTGTAGGGTTAAAGGAATATTTTGAATATAAATGTTGACATATTATCTCAAAATTATGAATTATTAAACTACTATTATTGCGTTATATTGATGAAATTTAATTGACATTTGTTTAATTTTATGATTATTATTGTAATTCCCTAATTGTTATAATTTCTTCTGCATGCCAGTTTCTGGTAAATATGTCTGTTAACTAGAAAATAAATTGTAACATCTTGTACTTTCCATATTTATGCAGAAATAAATATATTATTATTATTATTATTATTATAATGTATAATCATATGTTAACGATTGTTGCATACATTACATACATACAGTTACATACATTGTTCAGTAGTTTTCTAGAAAGTGAATTTCACAGCTCTGTTAGTGATTGCTATCAATAAGGGTGTAAACAACTTTTTCATATTTTTATTTCATAGATATAATGAAATATATCTAGAAAATATCATCTATATAGTTTATAATCTAAAAATAAATTTAATTTTCAAGGACGTGAAGTGACGCGCTGATTGCGGTCGCGTGACAACGACCATAAAATATATATATATTTTTTTTAATATTAATTCAAGTAATATAATAAGCATAAGTGTGATTATCGGTAAAAGTATATTAAACACTACCAGAAAAAAAAAATGTATTTATTTTCGTTTACTGACTACACCCATATAGCAAGAGTGCACTCTCAGTACTTGTTTATCAATTCATAAGTTACAAATTGCTACTAGACAATGAGTCTAATATATTTGAATATATTCACGTAATATTGAAAAGTAACTGTTTAGTTCTTATGAAATGTGTGTTTGGTCATTTGTAGTAATCTGATGCTATGCTTTAAATTTTATATTAAAGTATGATTTATAAATTTTAGTTACTAACATATAAATAAGAAGGATATGTGATGCTGATGATCATAAATGCCCAAACAAATAATGTTTTGTTATATGAAAATGGATGTGTATTGAAATCCTTGAACTTGTTTTGAATAGATTATATTAATTTTAAGGTAGACTTACATCTTAGCGGCGCGCTCGAGCAGACGAGAGTGGAGGTAGAATACATCACCAGGGTAGGCCTCACGACCGGGAGGACGACGCAGCAACAGAGACATCTGAAGATTGCACGTCATTTAAATTTAAGTAAGTCTATTCAAGTAAATATAATGTCATTATATAAATCCTGTAACTTTCCACCTGATAAGTTTGAAATGTTTGTCCTGGGCACAGTACACAAAGCGTGCCATCAGCTAATTAATTACAAGAAAATAAAATATATTTAAGAAAATATTTCATTATTTACAGTACAATACAAAAATAAATTATTAACAACTTTTCAATAAAGGAGGTTATCATTTTTTTTTATATTTATATATTTAATTTATTATATTCGTAATATATTAAGTAGATTAACAGTAGATTTAGAATTTTTGATGAGATTTATATAATTTGAAAGCATATTTTTATTATAAACCTAATAAATTTGTAATTTATAATCAAAAGTCACTAAATATACTATTAATTGTTATGAAATATAAAGCTTAGTTTCAATTGTTATAAAATTACAACACACCTGACGGTAGGCCACAGCCTGCTTGGACAAATCGTCATAGATGATGAGGGCGTGTTTGCCGTTATCTCTGAAGAATTCTCCCATAGCGCAGCCAGAGTATGGCGCGAGGTATTGCAGAGGCGCCGCGTCCGAAGCGGTAGCGGACACAATGATGGTGTAGTTGATGGCACCTGAGATAATTCATGTTAATAATTTATAACACAACAAACATAATAATAGTAACATCTACTATTATGCAGTGGAACTTTATTAGCATTTGATAACTGCGAAAAGTGCTTTTGGTTAATCTCATTATATATTTACAATTTTTTAAATAATAAGTAACATATGAATATGTCACGAAAGCAGAGTAGGTGTTTTATTTAGTTTTTTTGGACCTGTTAGGATTTTCATTATGATTTTGAACTATTAGAACATTGTAGGGAATCAAATACTATAACTTTAGAATTATTGTTAAATGTTCGTATGACAAATTACTGTCCAAACATAACAGAGGATGATCCGTTTTTTATTAACTATTGTTTGTTTCTGAATTGTTCTATATTTCTTACCAGCATCAGTCAACCTCTTTACGATCTGCGCGACGGTAGATCTCTTCTGGCCGATGGCGACGTAAATGCAGTACAACTTCTTCTTTTCATCATCACCCTTGTTGAAACGTTGCTGGTTGATGATAGTGTCGATGGCCAGGGCAGTTTTGCCAGTCTGACGGTCACCAATGATCAACTCACGCTGACCACGACCGATGGGCACCAGGGAGTCCACAGCCTTGATTCCTGTTTTATATTATTATACTTTAGTATAGAGAGCCTTTAAATAATAAATTGCGTTTATTTGCAAAAATATGCACTTCCCGAATTTACATATTTTTGTGTCTTATTACAAAATGAGATACTGTCAGTCCTTCCTTATGGATGGTTAAAGACAATAGGTCATGACCCTCCACATTGGCCTAATGCGAACTGGAGGGTATTAACGATCGCAAATGCAGCCGGGGCTGGTGCCTTCCGAAGCATAAAATAGCATCCCGTGACCGAATCTAGCGAAAAATGCTTATCAACATAGATCACGGGCCGCAGCGCTTATCGCGAGATTTTGCTATATAAGCACATTATTTATTGCAAATTTCAACAGTGACATAGAATTTAATTTCTTGAGAACAAACACATATTTCAACAATGTATAAATAAAACTTACCAGTCTGCATAGGCTCACGCACAGACACACGAGGAATGATACCAGGGGCCTTGATACCAACTCTCATACGGGACTTAGTGTCAATGGGGCCTTTGCCGTCGATGGCGTTACCCAGAGCGTCTACAACCCGACCCAACAGCTGTTCCCCTACAGGCACGTCTACAATAGCACCAGTACGTTTGACGATGTCGCCCTCCTTAATCAGCTTGTCATTACCAAACACTACCACACCAACATTGTCGGGTTCCAAATTGAGGGCCATTCCCTAAAGAGAATATAAATTTAAGTACTTTGCAATACCAGTGAAACACAAAATTAGAGTATGCCAATTTTATTTTTGACTAGTGACTTGTGGGTCTTAAAAAAACTTCTTGACATAAAGTTCATGATTTAAATGTTTGAACCACATAACTAATAAAGTCATCAATTTAATCAGAATTCCATTCCTATCAGATGCAAAAAATTATGTCGTAAATCCAACTGTAATTGAATGTCAAGAATATCAAAATAAAGTATAAGTTTCTAAAATTTGGATCTAAGACTTGACTGATTAGATCAACAGAAAACTTTTTCCTATTTAATACACATATGTACAGCCAATATTACCTTAAGGCCTGAGGAGAATTCCACCATCTCCTCAGCCTGAATGTTCTTCAAGCCATAGACACGAGCAATACCATCACCAATGCTCAACACACGGCCAGTTTCTTCCAAATCAGCCTGAAAATTAACAATTGGTAATCCTGAGAATCACACCACTTTTAAACCAAAATGAAAGATAAGTACTGAATACACAGGTACTATCCCATGATGAACTTTCATAGTTCCAAACTTTATTATAATAAAATTGGGTCAAAGTTCATTCTGAATTAGGTCAATCCTACTCAACCTAGACATCATTCACTGGATACTTATTCAATTCTCATAGTAATAAGAAAATTTATATTTATATAAGAATAACCTCTTTAAAATGTTTATGTAATAATAGACTAACCTTGGGCGCGGCCCCGAGGATCCTCTCCTCGAGGATAGTGGAGATCTCGGCTGCCCGTTGGCTACATGATACATGAATTTTACGTGAGGCAACCGCTACCGCTGGCACTGCGACCTTCGATACCTACCAGAACATAACCAAATTTCACTGACAATACCGCACTATTTCACACTACATGTACACTCACTATTTATCGATGAAACTCTTAACTATATATAAACGAAATCTTCATAGTAATGATAAAGGGAAGTAATAATCATAAAGAAGTTAGAACACCCACTATTACATAACACGCATCAATGTGTTGAATAACTTTAAAATTTATAATTTAATACCACACTAAGCATTACATTACATCGTAAAACATAGAGTTAACGCTTTTTAAGCAGTAAAGCAATCAATAAATAGGAGATATTTCATAAATTTGCCCTTCGACTTCATCTTTCAATCAGAGGACATTAAGATAGCCGGGCATATAAAACCTTAGCCCCGATAAGAATCTTCTCTTTTAGCTAATAAAATAGCAGTACTGTACCTGTGAAGCGGCATTTGGAATACGCCTGGCCACCGATGAGGCCAAACGAGCGGAGATGAGCGACATTTTTCACACTTATTATTTCTATGGCAGACAGAAGGCCCTTGTAGTTCTCCGCTCGCAACTCGTTGCGGTAGAACCGGAAGTGACATATACATATCAGTTTGTCTATGGTTCGTCACCATTGATTAATTCGTTTAGGAACAGCCCCCTTTATCTGAAACGAATATTTATCTCATAGGAATACCCTAAAGTTCCATCCACACGGTAGGTGGTCGGAGCTCCAACCACCAGGGCTGAAACCGGTTCAGAATAAACCGTTTTTATTTAGGTAAAACCTGTTCTCTTATAATGTTCCGTTCCGGATCGGAACTAAATGCGGAGTGAAATTCGGATGGAATAAAAACCGGTTAATTTGCTTGGTTCGTAAAAAGCAATGTTCTTACGCTTTTAATGCGAATTATATGATTTTTAAGCGACGACATTTATTATACCTGTGTACGGATGTTATAGATAGGAAAAAAATTAACCGGTTTCCAAGCCCTGCCAACTACTGACCATTTGATGGTTGGCCTACCGTGTGGACTATGTATATTGAGTCAAATAATCTGGATGTGACTATAATGAAGAAGTATTTAAAAAAACCAAAAGCACTAAAAAAGCACCTCCACTGGATGGCAAAACTTGATTTTTGCAGGAATCGAATGGACTAAAGACAGTCATTTCCATTCCTTTTAACTAAACTTAGATATCAATACAAATATGAAAAAGAACAAATAGAATGAGTTGTTTATTGAGTTTTTAAAACTAATTTACTTTTAAACATGAAAGAAAACTGTAAGAGCGCTTGTGCACTAGACTGAATTTTCAGGTCCGGCGGTCCGATTTTTTTCTGTTTGATATGTCAGGCCATATGTAGGTAATGCGCGCCTGTGCACTGTCAGGAATTTTACCGTCCGAAATTTTACTTTTCTCTATTCCAGACCGGTTTTTTCATGTCCGTGATGGCGGCAATGGAAAACGTGTTTACGCTTGTGCACTGTCTGCTGTATCCGCGATCCGGAAAATTCATGAGCCTGCGGTGTAGGCGTGGGAAAAGTTATTGATTTATGAAAAATCGATATTTATTTCGGCGATATTGTTAATTTTCGATATACTGAAAATCGATATTTATTGTAGATTATAAAATGCGATATTTAATATGATGATTTAATATAGTTGGTAAATATCACTACATATGCTTTGCCAAACTCGACTGAGTTCTAATTTGATCATCGTATGGTTCTAGTATCTATACTTTGCTGGATTCTAGAATCGCATTAAAAGTATCGATAACTTAAGGTAACACAAATAAGTGTTGTTGCGCTTAGACGCCTAAACAACTGAGCCCATCTTAATAGAAAATTAATATAGAAATAGACTTAACCTTGAGAAAGGACATATTAATTGAGAAAAAGAGGTGGAAATAGGGGATGAAAGTTTGCATGGATTTTTTTTTAATATCGGAATTTGCTTTTAGGCAATTTATAAGTATAAATAAATATATGATAGCAAGAAGTATTCTAAAAGAAAAAGAATTATGCTCAAAGAAACTATACCACGCGTATAAAACTATACCTATATATATAATACAGTCAACTGATCTTACAATGATCATAGTTAAATCATGACATTTAAAAACTTACAATAGAATGGCTAATTTAAATGCCATTGTAAAGTTCATTTAGCATATTAATTCTTCGCTTACACGGCACTAATTTGTTTACGAAATGGCGCCAACAATTGGTCTATCTCTGTAATCGCTTGAAGTTGTATTCCCAAAACTTCGAAAAAAGAAATAGCACGATTCTAAATTTAAACATCCAAGTTCAAGAACATTATAGGTAATGTTATTCTAATATCACAGATATATTTAGCTATTGTATGTGAATAATGCTATTCCTTAAATTAGTATTTTTTACATCTGATAGTAGTTATCCGACAATAGTAAAAAAAATGCTTTCGTCTTGCCTCAATTTATTATGTTTTATGTAAAATTTAGGTACCTTTCACTTATAAGGGGATGAAACTAATATTTGTTCTGTCTTCTAACAAAACAAGCAACAACGCAAGCAGTTATCGACATTTCAAAAATCTCGTCGTACCTAGCGTAAGTGACGTGTAGCTTCAAAGAGAGCTGCCCTAAACTGTGCCGCTCCGATCAGGGAAAAAGCGGACAAGTGCACAAGCCATTCATCCGGGTTTTTCATGTCGTTCCGGACCGGAAAAAAATCAGACCGCCGGACCTGAAAATTCAGTGTAGTGCACAAGCGCCCTATGGGTTGTCATGGAGAAATCAAGAACGTACCGTAGCTACATCTTGTTTGATTTCGGGAACTAATGTTTTTTTTTAAACTTTCTCATTTTCACAGACTTTCCTTAAAAATTGCCTCCATGCTATTTTAGCAATAGATGTAACTATCCTATTTTTAATAAGAGACGAGACGACCTATATAAATGCCATATTAAAAAAATAAGAGTCCTCATAGCCTGGATTCCAACCCATTTCAGTGTGGTGGGCAATGAGACAGTTGATTTAATTGCAAAAGAAGCAACTAATATTGATAACCTTTCCAAACTCGAAGTATTCTCGTACGACCTAATTTCCTTGGCAGTCAAAAGGAGTTCTTGTTCACGGAATGCTCAATGAAAGCGTCAAGTAAATATGTAGGAAAATATTCCGCCAATATTCAAGATACGAACCCCCCTTAACTTTGTGAATGCGGGTTGGACGTATTAACTGTTGACCATATTTTTTTTTCAATTATTCTAAATACCCCTCTTACTTGTATGACGTCATTCCCTCATATATTCCGAAACCCACAAATTTTAAAACCGTCTTAAGATATGTTAACTCCCCGTTTGTAATCATCTTACGGAATTATACTTAGAGTAATAACATCCGTCTTTGATTTATATATCATAGAATTTTCTAATATCGTTTTTACTTCAATGAAATTTGCTGTCAATCAAAAGACCTAGGTATATATGTGACTCAACATCTTTTATTAACGGACAGACACAAGAACAAAAATTTGTATTATGCAGACACGCATGGTTGTGGGAGACTATTTTTATTACGTAATCACTTTTTAACTATAGTGATTTGATGTGTAACAATGTGGTTTTATCCGAATTCAATGCCAGGCCAGAGTCACGACACCACTTTTGGAGCGTGTTGAAGTTCTGTTGCAGTCGATCACAAGTTTCCACTAGATCCCTACCCGCAGCAACAAGACACGTATCGTCTGCCTATAGATAGCGAGCGGTTTTAATTATGTAAAATATTATGTATAAAATACGTTTTCATTATTTTTCTATTATCAGACTGACGGGCGTAATACATTTTTTACCCCGTCGTCATCACTATTTAGTTTGTTAGTGCGAAAGGTTAAGAGGAATAAAGTTATGCAGTGGCATTATATCTAGGGGTACGTAATTTTCTCAAATAAAAAAATTATAATTTCGCATTAAAAAAAACTCAAAATAGAAAATTTCGCATTTATTTCGCAAAAAAAAATACAGTGTTAAAAACTCAATTAAAGGCTAGCATTGTTGTAATTTCTACATTTTCATTTTTCATTGTTTGCCTGCGATTAGTTACGGCAATGTTATAGATACTAAAGTACCTCTTGGCATTAACACCATTAACGGGGCAATTGAGACATTGAATAGCTGCTTTTGCAAATCCAGGGTAGCAAGATTGAATGGAAAGGCGAGAATCATATCATATTCATGAATATCGGGTGTTCTCGGGGCTTCTCCAACCACGAACCTATACCATAAACTAAAAAACCTAATAGATGATTCTAATATTTCTAAACGAATCATTGTTAATTGTGACTGTCATTTGCTGTCAAATTCAATGTCATTCTCACATGTGCTTGACTGCTTGAATCATGCTTGAATTGTTCACGAAATAGTCAGACCGGCATAGATTATTTTAGTTATTTTTTCGTCCTGTGACTTCTCTACGAATGTAAGCATTAAAAATGTGTGCTTCGGATCTCATCGGAGCTTTGAAGGTTCTATCCTGTTCTATTAAAGATTTAGAATTAAAGAAAACCATTAAAGATATTAAGGTAAGTCTTCTACCCTTTTGAAAGTCTGTGTACATTTCTTTATATACTGATAAATTAACGGAAGTGAGCTTTTAAACACGTAATGAATAAGGAGCTACCTATGTTGACACTTAAATTTGGTTGTTTGTAACAAAAAACAACCAGATTTAGATTGAAATCTACCTTGTTTACTTCCAAATTTTACTAATTCAAGGTCCTACCTTGCATACTACCAAATTATATTAATTCAAGACATGATCAGAATGCCTTACATGCCTTAAAACGCTATCTTTATGAAGGTTGTGCAACAAAATCACAAACCCTAGTGATTTTCATGTTTGTTTCCGTTTCATTATCTAAAAATATCTACACATCTGTAAAACTGAATATAAGGCACCATGGAGCATATTTGAACATATGTTGTTTCAAACTTTTTTTTATCTAATACTTTCAACTGATTATTTGTAATCAGAATAATAAATTGTTTATATAAAATAAAAATAAAATTATTTTTAATATATCAATGCTTAAGAACCAAGACCATCTATCTACACTTTTGGCAATTTTGACTTTTTAATGCAGTTCTTTTCATGGTTAATTTATGCATTGTTTCCTTTAATCAATTACTTCAAATTCAAGTTATGAGAAAATACCTATACCACCTAAGTTACATGTCATAATAATTGTATGGAAATACCACCTATCTACAGAGAACATTTTATTACTCATTTTAAAATTTAATAAAACTAAGAGTTTTTTTTATTTAAGTCTTTAATCTATATAATTTATTTGCCAATACTATTTTGAAATACAAGTAAACACATCCATCAGATGTAGAAATAAAAAAAAACTTGTTGTAGAAAAAAATATGAAATGTTTTTGTAAAAAGTCAACTAACCATCTTGCTAAAATAATTATTATGTATTTTTCTCACTAGGAACAACTTTTAAAGAAAACTATAGAATTGCAAGATGTTATTAAATTATTATCAGAATATATACTGAATGTTGACAATGCAA